ACTTGGTTTGAAACAGATGAATGAGCCAATTAAGAGGTTACTAGAATGGTTACCTGGTTAGGATTGGAAAGGTCCTCTTTAAACAGTTTTAGTGCTATCTTTACACTGAAGAAGCAAATCCCTACTCTATGCTTTCAAGCTATAGATATGGCATACATAACCTGCTGATGATATGGAATTTATCAAGAATCACAACTAAGCTAAATATAGGAATATCACATTAGCAGAGTTCACACTTATATTACATATATTTATATTATATTACACTATTATACAAAGTGAACTGATTTTTGGTTGCTGCTCAGCTAATGTAATTTTTTTTTACCCACTTCTAATAGCAACTGCGATATTTTGCAAACTACTCCACAGTATGCATTCCAACACCAGTAACAAAACCTACACTTGTAGAGTAACTCACCTTCTTGTCTGTCAACTTTCTTAATGCCAAATTTCATAATAACAGTGAAATAAATTATTGTGATAATGGCATTTTTACCTAGAGAGTTACTTAAAGTGACACTAAACTCAGGAGTAAAATCTTAAAAATACATTCAAGTATCTTAACTATTAACAAAAATGTATCTTATTTCTACATCACTCAGCTGTAGATCCTCAAATCATCTCTGAACTGGTGCTGACACTGTCCTTCCTTCTGGAGGGTGGCTTCTTTTGTTCCCCATGGACCTCTACAATCTCACTTTTAGTTTGCTAATTTGTATTGAGATTGCTGCATTTTTAAAGTGACATTAAACCCTCAGATTTTTTAACATAAACCAATTCTGTAATGTGTTCCTTACTGTAATCCATGGTTGTTTCCCTTCTCTTTGCTGCTCTTCCTTTTAAATCTGTATCTGTTCTCATGCTGGGCAGAACTTCTGTTTTGCAGCAGACTGCCTTGTCTCAGGAATGGATACACGGTGTCTGTGTATACATTTCTATAGACTTGTAACCTGAGCCAGCACTACAGGAAGAGGCACTCAGCTGCAAAGGGAAGTTCTTCCCAAGCATGAGAAGACATGAGGATTTAAAAGGAAGAGCAGCAAAGAGAAGGGAAACAACCATGGATTACAGTAAGGCACACATTACAGTATTGATTTATGTTAAAAAATCTGAGGGTTTAATGTCACTGTAAGATTTAACTCCTGAGTTTAGTGTCACTTTAAGAAAGAGAATCTAACTACTTAGGCAATGCAAATACCAACAGCTTGTAACATTCTTGTGTTATGATTCTTGTGTCTATACTCTATATGCTAACAAAAGGCTGTTTAAAAGCAACAGGTGTGGGAGCTCTCTTTCGGGATGTATTATCACCTATCTGTCTCCACTGTTCCACAGGATCTCAGAAATGGCATTTTACCAAATAAGAAATGCCACTGCTTCTTTAAAGCGAAATTGAATTTCTCTATCAAGTATGTCAACACAAGGGCAAGTGTAGAAGAAGGATTTTCAAAATGTGCTATATACTATATTACAAAATGTACTATTTACTATATAACAAAATGCTCCTGATATAGTATTTAAAATACATTATATGAACATTGCACATATATTTAATATATACATCCAACTGCCCAAACAGGAATAACCAAAAATAATTTAAAAAAAAGCTATATAATACACAGATGAGACCAGTTGTCTGCTAGAGTTTGCAGCCCAGGGCTGTACAATGCCTAAACCATGTTCTGAAATCAATAGACATGTGCAACCGCAAAATATGTGTTTAGTTTCGGATTTGGTTTATTTCGGATTTCTGAAATCGGGTCCTGTATGTATTTCGTTTTGGGTTTTGGATTCGGAGCGGATTCGTAATTCGGACGAATTTCCGAAATTTGGGGTTTTGCGCGAACGGACAAATGTTTGTGCGCACGTATGTATCAGAATTGGCACAATTGACATTTCTGGTTGCTGTGCTCTAGTCTTCACTATTAAAGGGACATTAAAATCATTTTCTTAATTTTTTGTATCCGTTTAAACGTTGGCGGTGCATGCACAGGAACATGAAGTAATGTTTTGCTTTTATCTTCACATGCTATGAAATCCTCTCCTCTTGAAGTCATTATCGTACATTTCTAATTTAGTTTCTGTTAGAACGAAATTTTTACTGAATCCGAAATTCCGAATCCGACATTTTGGATCCGGAATTTCGGATTAGGATGCTTTTGGATGAATTCGGACATGTCTAGAAATCAACGAAAATGAGACAAGCTTTCAGATAGGGTAGGTCTTGCAATAGATACTAACAGAGCTAAGCAGGTATCTATGGTAACATAATGCTTTAGTTGAGTTATAAGCTTTAAATTGCTGACAACTCTTAAGTGGAAAGAGTTTTAAAAAAAAAAAAAATTTGAAAAAAAAAAACTAACAGGACGTACGGTTCCACAGGGCAAAGAACAATTATACTCTTATTTTACATCTCATAGCAAATAAAAGTAATGGTCTTGTGCATAAAACCAAAAAAACTTTCATTTTCTAACATACGTACGTACTACAGCAATGAGTAGCTTGTATGCTACTGTATATTAACACGTTATATTAAGTAAAAGGAATAACTTGTTTTCTCGCTTGTTTTTTTACAGCAGGGTTACCCTAAACTGTAAAAACAATGGGTCAGTTCACAGTCCTTCAGATTTCAGGAGGGCCAGACTGTGACCAGTGGTAGTAGAAAATGCACTGGATCAGTGGGAGTAAACAATGCCCCAGGGTTGGTGGTCACGGGGAGTAAAAAATGATGTAGCACCTGTGGTCAGTGGGAGGAAGAATAATGCTCTATCGTTGGTGTCAGGGAGAGAAAACTGCCCTATTGTTAGTGTTAGTGGGAAGAACAGTTCCTCATTAATGCGGTCAGTGGAAGAAAATGTGCCCATCATTGGTGCAAGTAGGAGGATTAGTGCTCCATCATTGGTGTCAGTAGGAGAAGTAGTGCTCAATAGTTGGTGTCAGTAGGAGGAATAGTGCTCAATAGTTGGGGTCATAAGTACATCTAGAAAAGTAAAAACAAAAAAACAGAACACATGGTATAATAACGCCACCTATACTGTAAATCACATGGTATAATAACGCCACCTATATCGTAAATCACGCGGTATAATTACGCCACCTATACTGTAAATCATATGGTATAATAACGCCACCTATATTGTAAATCACGCGATATAATGACGCCACCTATACAGCATACCACACAACTGCCTTTGTCTTCGCCTACCAGTACTTTTTCCAGTTTTAAAGATGGCCCCCACACTGTCCCGAGCGGCGGCCATCTTAATGAGTAATCCACAGACTGCCAGTGACACTGTCACTGCTGTGCTGCCTGTCTGACCAACAGCTGATTGATCCGTCCAGCGCTCGCACGGAGGGGCGCCGCGCCCGCGGGCGATCATTAAAGGCCGTTGGGGACAGGATCTGTGCCAGTCGCCCATGTTGCTATGGCGCCCTGTGCGACCGCACAGCCCGCACACCCCAAAGGCCGGCCATGGTCATTAGGAGAAATAATGCTCCAGCATTGGTGTCAGTGGGAGGAATAGTGCTCCATCGTTGGCGTCAGTAGGAGAAGTAGTGCTCAATAGTTGGTGTCAGTGGGAGGAATAATACTCCACTGTTGGTTTCAGTTGGAGGAATAGTGTCACCTTGTTGGCATCTTTGGGAGCAATAGTGTTTCAAGTTCTGGTTAAAGGCAAGCAAAGAGCCACAGTTTGGAGACCATGGTTTTACAGGGATTAAACTGCTACTTTGTATCTCCTAGTAAACTGCTTACGCTGGTGCATTAAGTGGACTCCCAATGATGGTCACTTTACTATAGAAGCCTATCAGGATGCTGCTCATGTAATTATGCAAATGTTGTCATTTTATTCCATCAAGCTCAAGGTAAAACACATTCATATACACACTCATACACATATATAGAAAATCAGTCTGTACCTGTGCAACACCATAATTTTCATAGAAAAAATAACTATGATAACCAGATTTAAATTAAAATGCAAGTACTAAAAATGCCATACATTTTAAAATGTAAAGAAATGAAAAGATAAAAATCTTTGCAAAACAGGTATCATCGGATCACACTGGTGTAAATGCTATGCAGTGTGCCAATTGATGGCTTGCAAGCAGGGGACAAATGTGTAGCCCTTCTTTGATGTTGTATCTCTAAAAGCCTTCCATAGCAGATTACTGTTTCATGTTATCTTTTAGCGGCACAGTTAATACATAACTGTTGTGCGTATCCAGGCTATGTCACTATGGAAATGTACCAGAGGAAGCAAGTTAACAAAATTACTTCTGTTTCTCTCCGGCTTTCCTAGTCTGTGCTGCTTAGACTGAAGGAAGGAGGGGATAAAGACTGTCTTTATATGGCTTCAGGCTCTCCTTAAGCCAAAGCAGACACACTTCGCCTATTAATTTAAAGTTTCCACATATGGAACGTGTAAATGTAAGTATACATGCAAGATCTCAAGTGAGCTGCTGAAATATAAAGGGCTATTGAGAGCTTTAACACACTCAAATTACATGGCATTATCATAATATCTATTATTCACATGTATCTGTGAACAAGTCGCACAGTGTACGATTTCTTTAAAAAAACATGCACATTTTTTTGGAACAGGAAACATATGAAAATAATTGCTTGACAAGAGTTTAAAACACAATCAAAATAAAATGATAGTATTTTTAGGAGAACAGTTACAGCATGTAACAGAAGTGAAAGCATTTTTATTTTGTTTCCAAAGGGTGATTAAATTTGAAGGTGAATTTTTGTTTATGGGTGGAAGCTAGTTGTGTGAATTACGTAAAGGAGAATTATGACCTAAGGGCAAAGAAACACACTCCTTACCTTTACTCCATTAGCAATATTCCAAATTTCCAAAGTCGCAGTACATAGGAGATAAAATCATTTAAAATGGCAGAAAACGGCCATCTGCAGCCCTGGTTCAAGCTCCTTTCCTGTAAGTGAGCGTCAACAGTTCATTCAGCCCGCCCACAGCTTTTTTCTCTAATTGCACCTCTGCTGTGACCGCGCTTTCTCTAAGCGCGCACAGCTGTTTTGGTGGCAGGAGCGTGCACGCTGACAAGTGGGAGCGGGTGAAAAGACTGACAGCGGCAAGTACTCCCCACGCTGTCATCGTTCTTTCCCCTCACTCTCCCCTCTGTTTTCCTTCTCTCTTCCTGCTGTTTTCCCTCTCTCTCCCTGCTGTTTTCCCGCTCTCTCCCTGCTGTTTTCCCTCTCTCTCCATCGTTTTCCCTCTCTCTCCCCGTTGTTTTCCCACTCCCTCCCTGTTGTTTTCCCACTCTCTCCCTGCTTTTTTCCCACTCTCTCCCCGCTGTTTTCCCTCTCTCTCTCCCTGCTGTTTTCCCTCTCTCTCTCTCCCTGCTGTTTTCCCTCTCTCTCTCCCCGCTGTTTTCCCACTCTCTCCCCGCTGTTTTCCCTCTCTCTCTCCCCGCTGTTTTCCCTCTCTCTCTCCCTGCCGTTTTCCCTCTCTCTCTCCCTGCCATTTTCCCTCTCTCTCTCCCTGCTGTTTTCCCTCTCTCTCTCTCTCCCTGCTGTGTCTCACTTGTTACTAGATGTCAGCACCCACTGACATCATAGCAACTAGTAATCAGAAGCTTTTTAGCTAGTTTCTCTTTGTAAACATGCTGGCAGGCATCCCTAGTGACATCATTCACCATATGTGGTAAATTATGCTATATAATGATGCTTCTCAATGCACTGCTGCTCGTATAAAAGGCGGGGAGAAGGCAGGGACAGATGGGGAGGGGAAGGAGGCAGGAAGGAGAATGAGGGCTACACAGCAGCGCGTGCCTGGAAGGTGGACAGAGAGGACGGGGAAGAAGAGGTAGGGAGAGAGCTGCGAAGAAAGAGCTGTTGCGCATGCCCATATATTCATGGACACGCAGCAGCTCTCAAGAGGCACCGTCAGTCACAGTGACAAAGATCAGTGGGGAGGATCCTGAAAGTATTGTCGGGATCTCTCCTCATTGCGGCGCTTAGCCCGCCCACCATCATAAAGAAGCAGTTAAAGGCTTAGGGTATATTTCGGCTTATAGGAGTAAATTACACTATTTACTCCTTTAGCCTAAGGAATGCAATAATGGAGAAAAATATAGAACCCATAGTTCTCATATAATAGATTTGTATACTTCTTGGAGACAACAGTATGCAATCATCCTTATCAAGATTATCAGATCTACCCGTGCACAGCCACAGTTTAATTGATGCACTGAGAACATTTTTTAAATCAATAAATGACACTTCAAACCACAAGTTTCCAGCAAGGTGTATCACAACTTTAGGTAATTACATCTGACATGTTCAGGGGAACTTCAGTTTGGAATTTTAAACCATAATAAAAAACATTTATACACAATATGGTGAATGCTGAATTTAGGGTATAGAGCTGCTTGAGAGATGAGCCATAAGAGCTACCTGGCAAACATTTCATTTTACAGGTATACATATTGTAATAAAGCTACAAAAAAACACTTTATTGAGATTGTATTCGCATAACATGTATCAAGGCATGCAGGAGTTTCTATATGATTGGGCACATATGCGATTTTCTGTCATGAATTGCTGCAACCTACACTCCAGATGTGGTGAAAATTAGATATTTTAAACTACCTTTGATTATTCATTTTCACTGACGAGTGAGCAGCCAGTTTATAAATTACAGTAAAATATTTTTTTTGTTACAAAAAAATGCCAGTTTTGCCACTAAATATCAAATTAAGAGAATTTAAAATGGAAAAGGAGAAAAAGTAGAAAAAATAACAAATTCATATAAAACGTTTTTGTTTTTTTTAAAAAAAGCACCATCTTGGGCTTCATGATTCTTCCCAAAAGTTTATTGGAACCTTTTTTTTCTCTGCTCTGAAAACAGCTTACTGGAGGGCTCTACATGGGTAAATACCTGCTGGCCAGCACTTGCTAGGTCTTTTCTGTTGGAAAATGCAATGTAACTAAGAGAACTAATCAGAATTCATCTGTCACTAACGTGGTTACAATAAGCCAAATGGCTACCATATCTTAATGTATTTTGTGCTATCTTATTGGATTGGTCCTACAGTCCTTATTTACACATTGGTTTTCCAATTAAATTATCCAGCATCATATCTTAATGCATTTTGTGCTATCCTATTGGATAGGTCCTACAGTGCTTATTTACACATTGGTTTTCCAATTAAATGAACCTACATTAAATTAAGCAAGTGAAATCTACACTGAAATTAGATGGTAAGTGTTTGAAAGATGTACACACTACACTCTAATAAATGTCTTTATCCAATAAAGTGGTGTACTATAGTGTGACGGACTGAACCGTCACTGGTGCTGTTGGAGGAGCCTGGGGGCTAGCCTCCTTCCAACTGACTATGGACCCAGAACTATGGAGACCCCCCTCGGACTTCTTGGTGTTACAATGAACCATTCTACCAGGTTTATGTGTGGGGGGATGTACTACTGTACATGTTCCCTGGCATTACATTTGGATGGCCCTGTGTGTATTATAGGTACAGGCTGTGACTCCAGGAGCACTGAAGGGGGATAATTCTGGACATTGAACTGTTACAGTTTATTGGTCCTTTTGTTGTATTGTGTTAATGATGGGATTAGGATGGCTGATTCTAGGAGTAGCTGACTCCAGGTGTAGATGAGTAAATCACACTATGATACACTCAGGAGATAATCCCATCACATGTGTCTCCTCCCTCCCTATTCATTCATTAAGGCATCGGGGAGGGGGAGTGGATGTTTGCATGCTGTTCATGTTTGATTGCGTTATGTGTTTAGACTTCTTGGACTGTATATATACTGATCTAGTCTTCAATAAAGCAGATCCCTGTTGGAACTTACATACAGCCTGCCTGGTGTTTGTTCTGAGCTGGATTGGAACGGCACATAGCTGTAGTTCCAATCCCGGATTATCGGACGATCGAAGAATCAGACGTTGCGGTCTGACATCTGATCCATTAGTAGCAGAGGAGTGCCGGGAGAGTGGAACCGAGCGAGCAAGGGGCTCGTTACATATAGTTTAAGTTCAGTTAATAAAATAAAATGACATGAAACAAAAGAGAAAAAGCCCTAAAGTGCAAATTTAGGTCAAAATGAAACTGCAGATTAAATACAGAAAAAGATCATTTCAAATGATTATTTTGTTCTGTTCTGTCTGTACTGAATACAAATGTATTCAGGGCAGTATAGAAAATAATCCAGTATAGGGTTTTCCTAATTAGGGTAGAGAGACTCGTCATTGACTGACCTTGCCTGAAGACACAGTGCTTTACTTTGTGAGCTGAGGGCTACATGCCTCCAATCATCACATAACATTGATAGAATAACTTTGAGGAAGGCAATTTTCTGCCAGGATACTAAAATGAAGTCAGAGGGAGTTTTCGCATCTACTGATGCTTTCCAGGACTGACAGGCTGGGTGAGGTTAGCTCTGCATCCATATTCCACTACAAGTCTGGTATTACAAGCTTCCACACTCACTGTATTACAGCATTGGGACACTAGCATGGTCCTCTGTCATGGTAATTACAGAACAATAATAGCTGCCTCATGGGATCATGTGATAACACATATTGCGTAAACCTGGATCAGCAACAGAAGAGGAAATTGCGTTTTCTAATTCTTAGAAATAGAACACCATGTCACATGAAAAAAAGAATAGCTATCACCCACTTAAACATTTAAAACTGTTTGCAATGAATATTGGCTTATTAAAAAATACTATTCTGTAAAAATGAAAAAAAAAAAAAAAGGTATCAGCATATACTGTAGATTGAAATAATGTAAATTATAAGCTTTATATTTCCAAGGATTACATTTGTCATTTAGATTTTTAGTATTCATGCGTTTTAGCTCTGACCCTACCCATTTGAGGGATAATCAATTATTGTGTTGTAGAATTAGGTGCTGGGTTCAGGTGGTACCCACATGACTATGCTGGCAGAGAGATATACAGACCTTAGATTCAGATATGACATGCTTGGTGATTAGCACTGTTCTCATACCACACTTACTCCCATTCCCATTCTAGATCAATGGTGGGAAGCTTACTTTAAGTCCCTGTTCACACCTGGGCATTTTGACGCTCAAAGGTAAGCGCAACAAAACTCTCAACACAAGAACTCCCATTCATTTGTATGGCCCCTGTTCACACCTGAGAGTTTTGTCGCAAGCTGTAACACGCCAAACGCTTGAAAAGGTACATTAACTTTTTTCGGGCAGTTTACAGTGCGTTTGACCAGATAGACTTCAATAGAAGTGCACCAAAATGCACGACACAAGCGTTGTGCACATTTGCTCATTCTCCGCAATGCATTTAAATCTACTTAATAAAACGCGCGTCTTTGTATATGCGCATAAAAATGCAAAACGTGTAAAATCGAGCTAAACGCTTCAAAACGTGAAAGACAAACCCTGCGTTATATGTGTGAAAATGCTGACGACTAGGTGTACACGGAGACTTAAACAGGTCATTTTTATGGTTTTGTGAGGACACAAGAGCAACATAGGTTTTGGCGGGAGAAACCACAGAGGCCAGAGTAGGACTTGCTATTCTACAACACAGCAAATGTAGAATAGGTTTGGTGCCAGAAGTGCTGCTATACGTTGAAGTTTTAGCAAATGGGCAGTGATTTCCACTTATCCCTGCCAAGGTGACTGCAAAAATTATTGGCAATACATATTATCATAGAACAACGCTGCCCTTAATATCATGCCTAGATGACATTTCTAAATAAAGTCTGAAGCACAGCACTTTAAAACCTGGAAAGCCTTTGACTATAGTGTCCACTAATACATGTCTGGAAAACTTGAGCTTCACTCCTTAACCTGTTTGCTAAATGCTGCAGGATGGGAAACATTATGCATAGATATATTTGGAGTATAATGATACTGTAACGGGAGATTATTTGTTGTGAGAAACTATACTTTTTTCTGGTATCAACAAAATCATCTTCCTTTTACTGTTGGAATTTTGGACGAGTTATGGTCAATCACAGTTGGAACAGATACAAAATAATTGTAAGATTAATTACATTTCACAATTTGTTGATTCCAGTACATAATCACAATCAGTTTTTGGTTTGGTTACATGATCTGAAGTTTAGTGATGCAATTA